CCCGCCCCCCCCTTAGTACGCCACTGCTCTGTAATGGTACAAGTTGAGCTAAAACCAGCTTGAGATCTGAGTGGGGACCCATCGAATGGCAGGCTAATTGAGCTGTTGTCAGTTCTCACCTCTCTTGCTACTTGGTTTTCTCTGCTTGTAATCCAAAAATGCTGGGAATTTCTTAAAACAAGATTTTAAGGGGGTACTGTCACTTTTCTGGAACTGACACCATTACATTAAACTCTGACTAGTGTTAAAACATTTTCAAGTGATGTTCTGTTTTCTTTTCAATTTGTGTCAAAGATTTATAAAATCAGACCATGATCTAGTTCAGACAAAGGCAAAGTCAGGCAAACATTGCAAATGAATAGGGGCAACTGTTGTATTTTTCGTCTTCTTCATATGATTTTGCATCGCTGACTGCCAGGTGCAAAGGATAGAGCTAATAACAATGATTGACAGAGCGCTAAGATGGAGGCACCCAGTTGCAGGATAAAGACATGTGGATTTCTATGTTTACTTTTCATTTTCACTCCTTACAAATACACATTTGTTATATATAGGTATTTTTAAACAGTATATTAAAAATCATGAGAAGTGACAGTTTCTCTTTAGAAACCAAGACAAAACTAAACACACATTGACACCTTACTGCAGTTTCAGGGCATCGACATATGTATTAAATATTTCTTACCTGTGCAGTGGATCTGGTGTTGTTTACTCCACAAACTAATAAATAATGTTCATTAATAAGACATAAAAATAAGAAGTCTTTGTAAGAATTCTAAGATTTTGCATTTGAAAATATATGGACCACATAACAGAAATATGAATGATTTCAAATCAATATGTACATAGGTTTTGTTTGTTTTTGTTTTTTTTACCATTTTTCAATCAAACATTTACAGTAACCCACAGCCCCCCAACGACATATCATTAGTTTCCAATTGAGAATATATATATATATATTAATTTTTTTATAATTATTACTGCAACAATTCTTGTGCACCTAGAGACGAGTCTTCATCTCCACTTGATCAGTCTGTATCATTACAAAAACATAACATCTAGAGGAAATATACCAAGTTTAATTCCACTTTTACAAAGAGGCCAATTGTCTACCTGAGATTTGTTCTAATATATGTATACAGGTTTATTAATTATGGGGGAGAAACGTTAAATTAGAATGTTTAATTATAATGCTTTGAGGCGAGTTTGTTCTTAACAAACTATTTACATTGCATATTGTAGTGGATAACTAATAAAGAATAAAAATGTGCTAATTCAAAATCAAAGAATTCATTAGAAAGGATGGAGTGTGAGTGGGAATCTAACAAATTATATAAAATACTTCAGATCAGAAAATCTATTAAAATGTATAGTCAGAATGACTATGCTTATCTCCGAGAAGCTACTGTGTATTGAATTATTGATTGGAGCCGTTTCAGAGCACTGACATACCTGTATGTATTAAATCTTTCTTACCTGTGCAGGGGATCTGGTGTTGTTAACTCCACAAACTAATAAATTATGTTTATTAATATAACTTAAAACCTTGAAAGGCTGAGTTAACCCCCCCCCCCACCACCAATAAATAATCAATCCTGTAATCAACAAGATCTGCAGTCAGTGCATTAACCCACTGAGCTATATCAGGGACTGAAGGTGAAGCTTTATTGCCTGCACAAAAATACATAAAATGAAATAATATTTTAGTAAACTAATAATAAAAAAAAAAAAACTAAATTTTATTCGGGGCATATTATTACCTTGGCTGGCTGTTTTTATGAGTTGTACTATATTTGTTTTTTTTTCACATTTCATTTATACACATTCCTTTGCTGTGAATAAAAAAGCCAAAAGGCAGCTGAAAAGGCACTGGAATTTATTTAGTATCTATATATAACTGCCAATCCAGGCCAGACTTTCAGCGTATCCCTGCTGGATTAAGGCCATTTTTTTCTGAGAGTATTTCCAAGAAAGCATTTGATGGACTTGGCAAGACTATTCCTGGAAATGTTCAATAGGTCATCTTCTGAAAAACTGTGTTGACTGATAGAACTGAACAGAGCTTGTTCTTTTAGCCGCGTACCACTCACAGACTTTATCGGCCCTCAGGTGTAGCAGTGTAAATTTGATACTTAATATTAAAGAAGAAAAAAATTTTATCTGCAGTAAATTGGCTTAAAGCCTAGTCTCACATTCTTTGAGTATTGTATCCTATCAGGCAGCCTTATCCAATATGTTTTGGCTCCCAGATATATACATAATTATAAAAAAGAGAGAGAGGGTCCTATACTATAAAAGAAGCTCTGGATTCTTCCTCATTTCATAGATGTTTAAAAATAATCAGTGTAAAAATACTTTTAAAAAACGTTTTAATGCGCAGAGTTTTTTTAATTCCTTAGAGGCTTATTTGTAGCTGTAGGTAGAGCGTATTATAAAAAAACTAACCTAAATATTGCAATTTTTGCTGTGCTTTAAAAATAATAATAAGTTAATGATTAATTTATTGGTTATTCTATGTGTCTTGTTCTTTCACATTTATAATATTTGAAAGAAATTAAAACGGAAAAAGCCAAATAAGTGCTGGATAATTTATCATGAAATAAACGAGTGGGAATTTTTTTTTTTTTAAATGCCTTTTTTAACACTTTATGAAGATTAAGAATATTGAGACTTTATTAAAAACTTTTATAAAGGATGCAAAAAAATTGACATATCTGAGCACACTAAGCAGTCAAAGTACTTGATCACATTCTATCCCTTAATAATTATCTATATGTTATCTATATGTTATAGACTGGACCGCCAATAATGTTGATCTGCTCACTAGTCATTTTAAATATTTATTTTTTAATTATAATTTTTTGCAACATTCTTTTTTCATTTTTAGTTGTAAAAAAAGAGCCCTATCCTGTAAACAGTACAGTTTAAGATATCTCAATCATTCTCTATAACATTTATTGAGACATAAAACAGAGCTGTTTTACTTTGTAAAATAAAAAAACACAAAAAAACTTGATAAATCACTGACAACACTTTTCAACAAATTAATAAATATTTCTAGACCCTATGTAAGGCAAGGATAACTCACTCCTAGGGCATTGTCTGTAAAGCAGGGTTTAGTTTGTCCATGATGCTAGGCAAGGTGCATCATGCCCTGGGTTCTGTTTCTATGAGCACTGTTTCTGTGTGAATGTATGTAGTGGTTGAGTTTGTTGAGAGCTGTATGGGTGTATTTGTCAGTGGCATCTCTAGAATTCATATTTAGGGGGGGCACGTGGTGGGCCAGAGATAAAAGTAGGGGGGTAGTTATAAAGTGTGTATGTATGAGTGTGTGTGTATATATATATATATATATATGTCTGAGACTGCAATTTGCAGAGGGATTAAGGGAGCGGGTGTATGTATGTATATATATATATATATATATATATATATATATATATATATAGTGTTAAACAAAAATCTGCACACCAGCCAAGCCATAAGACTTGCTTTTCCCACAGAAATCCCAAATCTGCAGTGATGTTACAACCGCAAAGGATTCTGGGTGGGCATATGCAAATTAGTTTAACAAAGAATCAAATTTTTGCCTCATTCCATTTTATTTTTTGAAATTTGTATTTTATTGTTATTCAACATATATTGGGGGGATACAAGAAGAAGGAGGGGTAGTCACATTGCATAGTTTACATGCACTCAATTGTATTTTACAGTATTATCCTGTATGCATCACCGAACACATCACATTTACACTGGTCAATTCGAGCTAATACCTTATGAGCCAATCACTGCGGTGCCCTGTACTTCGCCACCAGGTCGTCAAACCCTACCAGTCCCCAAGACCCTGTTTGTTCTATCGTCACCGGCTCCCTTTAGTGTCCTATCTCCCCTATCCTGGGTTGTCTCCTGTTGTGGTGGTTTATAGTGGGGTTGTGGCTTGTGCGTCCTCTTTTATGGTGTGGGGATTGGTAAGTGGGGGTGGCCTTATGGCCAGTGATCCTCTATGGGGGCTCATTAGTCTGGGTTGCCCGCCCTCCAAGAACGCCATAATTCCCATGTACTCAGGAAGCGTTGTGGGTACGGGTGTGTCGTAACGAAGTGTGTTTCATAGAGTAGTTGTTTGTCTATTTCTTGTATAAGGGGTAGGATGTTGGGGTGTTTGTCAGATTTCCAGAGCCTGGCTATTAATTTTTGGGCAGTCAATAGAATATGGCATATCAGCTTCTTCGCCCCGGTAGGTACGGTACTCGGGATGTCTAGCAACAAAAAGGTTGCGGGTTCGAGGGGTATGTCAGTGTTGGTGGCTTCGGTAAGGAGCTTGTGTACCTCTTTCCAAAATCTAACAAGGCGGGGGCATCTCCACCAGATGTGCATGACTGTTCCGTGGTCACCTATGCATTTCCAGCATACCGGAGACGAGTGGGGGTATTGTTTATGTATGCGGGTCGGGACCATGTACCACCTATATAACGTTTTCCTGTGTTGTTCCAGCAGTGGGGCTGATTTAATCAACCTCTTCGTGGAGGATATAATGTGTTTCCATTTAGCTTCGGGAACTTTGGTCCCTAGGTCCAGGTCCCATTGTAGTGCCTGTGATGAGTTGTGGAAGGGTATGTACGTCTGAAGGGTTTTGTAACAGTCCGATAGTGGCTTGAATGTGGGTGGTATTTTCCCCGATATGCCTATTTTCTCCCAGGTAGAGAGTTCCACCGGCCTGAGTTGGCCCGGGGGTTTTGTCTTATTTCGTGTGGTGAGAAGGGAGTGTAGTTGAAGGTGCGAATATTGTGATGTTTGTGGGATGTTGTAGGTGGATCGGAGCTTAGCGAAGTTCGTGAGTTTGCCTGCTTCACACATGTGTGACAGGTGGGTGATCCCCATGGCTTTCCATGGTGTCGCATGGAACGTAGGGATGCAGTATGTTATAGCTTCAATTGGAGTTGCCATTGATAGGGGGTGTCCTGTTTCGAAATGCCCTCTGTGTGTTTCCCAGACCTGTAGTGCCAATGCAAGTTGGGCGGGTGGGAGTGGGTGGCCGGTCTGTCTTTTTTTGGTAACCACAGCAGATTGGGGACTTGGAAGGGTAAGATGGCTGTATGCTCCATTGCCACCCATTGGGGTTGGTTGTCCTTGGTCAAATGTGGCAAGAGGGAGGACAGTACTGCAGCTTGGTAGTACAATTTGACATTAGGGAATGCCATTCCCCCTTGTGCTGTGGGGGCTAGGAGCACTTTTTGTGAGATTCGTGCCCGTCTCGTTCCCCAAGTGAATTGTAGCAGTTTGGCCTGGATGGTATTGAAGTATGATGGCGATACTCGTAAGGGTAGGTTCCTAAATAAGTATTGAAGTTTCGGTAGTATGGTCATTTTCAGTGCTACTATTCGCTCCGACCAAGTTAAAAATAACCGGTCCCAGCCCTTCATTGTTTTAAGACAGTCCTCCCAAACCCTGGTATAATTCGCTGGGAACATATCTGTGACATTTTTAGTAAATGTCAGGCCTAGATATTTTATGTCTTTTTTCCTCCATTCAAATTGGTAGTCTTTGTGTAGGTTCGCCAAGACTTGTGGGTCCAGGTGTAGACCCAATGCTTGTGTTTTGGAGGTATTGAGGGAGTAATAGGACAGTGTCCCATATTCATGTATGAGTCGCATTATATGTGGGAGAGAGCTCTCTGGGTGGGAGATGTACAGCAGGATATCGTCTGCAAACGCCCCTATCTTTATTTGGCGGCCATGCCAGTCCACCCCTGTTATTTCTGTTCGGGTTCTGATTCCTGTGAGCAGTGGTTCTAGGGCTAAAACGTAGAGTAGGGGGGACAGGGGGCACCCCTGTCGTGTGCCGTTAGTAATTTTAAAGGGGTTAGACAGAAAACCTGCTTGTAGTACCCTTGCAGTGGGGTGTGAATATAAAGCAAATATCTGTGTGATGAGTTGGTGTGGAAAATCATACCTCTGCAGCACCTTGTGGAGGAAGGGCCAGCCCAGGCGGTCAAACGCTTTTTCGGCATCTAGTGCTAAGAGCAGTCCGCCTGGGCCGGACCTCCTCATCCTCTCTAACACGAGAGCCAGTTTCCGGGTATTGTCCAGACCCTGTCTCCCCAACACAAATCCCGTTTGATCGTCGTGTATGAGTGTCGGTAGTATTTTACCGATTCTGGTCGCTAAGATCTTGGCATAGATCTTAGCATCCGTATTTAACAACGAAATGGGTCTGAAATTCTTACATTGGTCAGCAGGTTTTCCCGGTTTAGGTATGGTCACTATCGTTGCTAAGAGCATCTCAGTTGGGAGTACTCCTGTGTCCGTGGCTTTTTGGAACACTTGTACGAGTCTGGGACCAAGTATTTCCGCGAACGTTTTGTAATATATATTAGGGAGCCCGTCTGCACCCGGGGATTTCCCTGTAGGGAGGTGTTGTATGGTGTGTAGAACCTCAGTAAGAGTGATGGGTTCAAGTAGTGCATTTCTTTGGTGTCTGTCTATCCTGGGCAGAGGAAGCTGGTCCAAGTACCTTTGGATAGCGTTTTCATCTAAAGGGGTTGTGTCTGGGTGATCTCCCAAATTATATAAGTCAGAGTAATATTTTGCAAACTCCTGGGTGATATCTAAGGGGTTTTGTATTTTGGACCCATTTGGTCCTTGTAAGTAAGCTATTTTGGAGGCCGCCAATTTCTCTCTCAGCCGATTGGCCAGATGTTTTGTCGCTTTCCCGCTATGGTGATATGTGGTGGCCTTCATTCTATGAAGTAGGGACGCAGTTTTGGCTGCCTGTAACTGATGTAGCTGGTTGGTCAGAGATTGGATCTGGTTTGCTAGAAGTGGGGAGGGGGATCGTTTGTTCTGGGTGGTGAGGGCCGCTAGTTTCGTTTGGTGCTCAAGTATTGTGGTTTGTCTTTGTTTTTTGAGGTAGGACGAGCGTCTCATAAATAGGCCTCGTACTACAGCTTTGTGAGCCATCCACACAGTCTGTACTGACACTTCCTCAGCAGAGTTTGTGTGAAAGTAGGCAATGAGTTCAGCTTTTATTTGGTTCATAAAGTCGTGGTCTCGGAGTAAGGAATCGTTCATTCTCCAAGTCCCCCGTCCTTTAAACTGAAAGGAGTCATGTAACACCAAGTACACTGGGCTATGGTCTGACCAAGTGATATCTCCCATAGAGCATGTAGAGACTTGTGCTAATGTGGGTTGATCCACGTAAAAAGTGTCTATACGGGTATACGTGTTGTGTGCCGTCGAGTGAAAGGAGTAGTCTCTTTCCCCTGGGTGCAGCATTCTCCAACTATCATATAGGTTGTGTAGTGAGAGCAGTTTGGACACTGCCTTGCACGTGGAGTTTACGGTCGCCCGTCTTGTCCCCTGGGGTAGGGCAGTCGTGTCGACTTCTGGGGAGGTAAAGAAGTTGAAGTCACCACAGAGCACCAGTCTACCTTGTCTATATTTATCTATGTCTTGCAGAAGACGTCTGAGGTATTTTTCCGTCCCAGTATTTGGGAAGTAGGCAGATACCAAGGTATATTGGGCATTATTAAAAAGACCTACTAGTAGGACATATCTCCCTTGGGCATCTACTAATTTTGTCTGCTCCTGGAATGCCACGTCTTTATGTATGAAGATGGAGGCCCCTTTCGTTTTACTGTCTGATAGGGCATGGTATTGATTTGGGTATAGTTTAGTGAAGATTTCGGGGGTCTTGGCCTTTTTAAAGTGTGTCTCCTGGATACAGGCTATGTCTATCCCTTGTTCTTTTAGCTCTTGAAGTAGTAGCCTTCGTTTACCTGGGGTGTTCAGCCCCTTGACGTTATAGGTTAGTAGTTTCATGTGGGAGTATCAGGTGGAAATAGTGTGCTTAGGTGGGTCGGGTTTCGTCCATCTGCGCTTATAACCGGTACTGCAATTGCCCTGGGTGGGGGTTGTGCATGGCGTGCGTCACTGTGAAATCTGAGAATGTGACCAGTCAGGGAGTGAGGGAAGTAAGTAGGGGGTGAAACTGGGGTGAAAAGAACAAGTGGGTAAGATACCCATTTCGGCTCCAAGGAGTGGGGCCGTGCCCTGCTGCCTAGCATGGAGGCGCGGCTGTCGGGGGGGTGGAGGTGAAGTTGGCAGTTCTCTAGGCCGTGCACCATAGAAAAAGCCAAAAAAAACAAAAAAAAAAACGTGAGCAGTATTAACATGCAACTATGGTAGCGAACAATGTGTGCAACCCGTTTCTAACATTCTATTTTTTACCGTTTAGTTACGTGTACTCAATAATAGCATATTGTATAGGATATAGATCTCAGTACCTTTCAGCCCCCGGTAGGGGGTGTTTTAGTACCTCTAATCGGGCAGAGACAGATTCTAGCCAGCAACAACGCTTTCTGTTATGCCTTGCACATGTACTCCGGTAAATAACAACTATCAGTACATAGAATATAGAAGGGTGTCACCCAATTTGTTTTCCCAGGAACAACTCTAACGGGGTTATGCATCTATCTATCTATCAACTGTTATATACATCACATAGTTACGTATGTCGGTAGGAATGTTCAGTTCTCATTGTGTTGTCCACTCCGGGGACATCCTCGGAACTTTAGCTGCTTTGGTGGGGTGTAGGTTCTGGATCGGGAGTCCCCATTCTTTCAGCTGCTGGACACCTTGCGCCACTTGGTACAAGCTAGCGGAAAAATGATCCCATGCTTAGGTTCAAAATATACCTTTTGAATTGCCCTGGGATGTCTTCTTTAAGAAATGGTATGCCTTTATGGTGTAGTTGTAATATGTAGCCTGCTCAAGTGCTCCAAAGTGGGACACGGACGCATCAAAACCCTCCATAAAAATGCACACTTAAAAACCTTAACTTGTCACGTCTCTTTTACAGCAGTGTAACTTCACAAAATAGTGTCTAGGGGTTTGAACTTAGTGGCACATATGAAATGTACAAAATGCCCAGCAAAAATGTAATCCGTATGTAAAAAATGCCCAAAATTATTTTTTACCACATGCTTTGGCATATTTTGCCTCATTTCATTTTAAACTGGATTCCTTTTAGTTAATGAGGCAAAAATGTGATTCTTTGTTAAACTAATTTGCATATGCCCACCCAGAATCCTTTGCAGTTGTAACATCACTGCAGATTTGGGATTTCTGTGGGAAAAGAAAGTCTTATGGCTTGACTGGTGTGCAGATTTTTGTTTAACATTGTATTAACTATCCACAGACTTCAGGTTGAAGAGGTTTTCAATCACAATTTTTCCCCACCATAACCTATTTGGATTTTGCTTTATATATATATATATATATATATATATATATATATATATATATATATATATATATATATATATATATAATATATGTATAATGGCACTCACCCTTGCTGGTATAATATGAAGTCCAATGCCCTGGTGCAATCCCACGCTGAAATAATATACAATATATAGATAGAAAGGATGCACTCTCCGGTCTTTAAGTATTCCACAATTATTTATTCCATTATTTGATATGTAGCAAATTGATCGACGTTTCGACCCGTTCGGGTGTTCCTCAAGATCAATACATACTTTAAAATGCTTTATATAAGAAAAGGTGTATTGTACTCACCAATAGTGATTGTGACCCTCCTCCCCCTGCTCAGAACCCGGAAGTGTCCGATGGTCACCATGTGAGCTGCGTGGTGACGTGACCACGTTGAACATACGTGAAACCAGTGTAAACAATTAGTATAAGGCCGGTAATACAAAACTCCGGCATATAAGAACCCTATACATATGAAACGTGTTTGCTGGAAGGTCTTAAGCCGGAGAGTGCATCCTTTCTATATATATATTGTATATTACTTCAGCGTGGGATTGCACCAGGGCATTGGACTTCACATTATACCAGCAAGGGTGAGTGCCATTATACATATATTATACTACTATTGGGTGTTTGATGCACCTACTTGCGCACCCCCTCGTGCAGTGGCGTACATACCAGGGTCGCTGGGGTCGCGACTGCGACCGGGCCCGGCCCACCAGGGGGCCCGGCCGCCCCTGCGACCCGGTATGTAGCCACAGGGCCAGCCTCTTCTCCTGGGGGGCCCAGGAGGCGGCCACCCCAGGGCCCCCCGAGGCTGGCCCTGCTGTCACCGGGCAGGCGGGCGCGCGAGGGAGCACTCAGTGCTTCCTCTTCAGCTCCCTCGCGCACCGCACTGATACCGGAGCCGGAAGATAAGAAAAAGATTTAATAGATGGATGTGTGGTTTTCGGTTCCCATATACTTTTCAAACGAAAATGATGTTTTATCTGCTGTTGTACATCTGGTTTAAATGTTTGTAGATTAAGGGTTCTTTCCATTTTATATAAATCAATGTCTGTCTTGAATACATCGGGTTTAGGGGTGGGAACAAATGTAAGACCTTTTGAAAGAACTTTGATGTGATCAGAGTTCAATATTTTTGAAGATAAGTTAAAAATAGGAGTCAAATTCTCCTGTTCGATTGCTTGGGACGAGTACCTATATTTTTACCCCTCTGCCCACGTCTAGTGATTGTGGGTCTCTTAGATCTCTTCTTCTCCTTGTGTTGAATCCCGGCGGGTCGTTGGTATGTTGATCTTGGGGAAAAAAAGGTGGTCTTGTAGAATGTCCAGGTAATGATTCTTGCACGTCTTGGGATGCTCCCACCCCTTCAGTTTCCGAGGTAGAGTCGGCAGAGCTCGTGTCAATCGATAGGAACTGAGGTTTGCGAACCTTCTGTTTATATCTTGAAAAATTAGGTTTACGTCGCTCCCCACATAACCAATGGTAAACCTGGTGGTGGGTATAATCAAAATTAACACGTTCTAATTTTTGTTTTTTAAATCTAATCAAATCATTTCTATATCTAGTGATTTCATCCTGTAATTTGACCATATATTGGGTAGAGGTGGCAGCTGTAACAATAGAAGTATGCAGTACTTCAAACTTATTAATGGATTCCTTAGTAAAAATTAATTCATTTCGCACTTCCTCAACTACTATCAGCATCCAGTCCAATGAACATTTGTTTGCAATCCCAGTGCATTTTTTTAAAAATTCTGGATTTTGACGTCCAATCGTAGGTGAATTACGGACTCTAAAACCTCTGGGGATCCGTTTAGCCCGATAGTAATCAGAGATAAAAATACCGTGCAAATCTAAGTCTGTCTCTCGTCTCTTCAATTTAGTTAAATCATTATATAAGTCTCTAATAGAGTCTATATGTGCCAGTTCTGTAGTAGTGTTAGGCCACAAGATTTTATCTGCATCTTGTTCATTTAATTGCAAAGTTTCTGCAGTTTCAGAAAGGGCTCCAGCCCTTAATAGAAAATCTTCCATCCTGTTTAAAGAGAGGTTGAGTCTGGAGAAACACCTATCCAGAGTACAAGTAACCAAACGAATATGGCATTATAAGAACTATAAAATAGTTCAAATGGAGGTGCACAGAAAGTGTATCGCCATACACTGTAAAATATATAAATATGTACAAAATCCGGCACTCTACCTTTAAAAAAATGTTGATCCCAAAAAACGCCTCGGTGCTGCAAAGCGTAAATAGATAGAGAAATAGTAGCAAAGAGAGCACTCCAAAGGACTTGTTGAAAAAAATTTTTTATCGGTGTACAGAAAAAAATCGACGTTTCGACCCGCAGGTCTTTATCAAGATGCATAACACAGTGAAGTGATAACATTTATAACAGTAAATAATTAGGGGGTAATCACTTACCCTAAGATAGGTGTGCAGCTACGGAACCATGTGTACATGCTGTGAATAGATGAAAGGTAGCGTGTGAGTTCCGTAACGGAGTGATGACGTCAACCAAATGCGACCAGGAAGAGGTGGTGAAAAGGCGTCCGGTTTCCATAGAAACGAGTAAGTGATCGTGTATGGTGTGAAACAGTAAAATAAACCAGATAGGAAAGATCTATACAAGTAAGAGAGAGAGAATGATGGCCATAGTATATCTTAAAACGGACATATATTAAGTATGAACAGAAAGTCCAGAGAAAATAAACATATAGAAAGCGATGAAGAAAAAATATTAAGTAAAAAAGATCAAACCATAAAAAGATAGTGAAAAAGAAAAAAAGAGATAGAAAGAAGGAAGAAAGTGGAAAAGATAAAAAAGGAAAAGAAAACTACCGTGACAACTAAAGAAGTGGAGCAATAACACTATGTATCAAAATAGTGAAACCGTGAAACAGAGTAAAAAGAGAGAAAATGAAACATATAGAATAACGAAGAAAATAAGGACCATCGGTAAATACATATATTAGAATAACCACAAACATTGTGTATACATATACATTGTACTATCAATATCCAGTATGCATAATAAGTACACCATGGAACTGCTAATAAAAGCTGAAAATCCCTTATGCAGAAAAATGACAAGATTAAATAATTAGACCTTTAAAAATGAGAACGAGAAGATAGTAAGAAGCAGGACCAAAAATTACACAGATAAACAGCAAATCAAATTAGCGTGTATCTAAAAATGGATGGAAAGACAAATATTCATTCAGGCCCTTGGGATATAAAGTGTCCAATGCTTTAATCCAGTAAACCTCCCGCTGAAGTAGAGATCGATCCCCCCCTCGGCTAAGAGGGGGAATGTGATCAATAGCAATAAATTTAAGGGTGGGAAGCCGATGATTCGCCTCTAAGAAATGTTTAGCCACCGGTTTATCGGTCTTGCCATCCCTAAAGGCGGTCATAATCCCCGATCGGTGACCACGCATTCTATCCCGCAATGTAAGATCAGTCTTTCCCACATAATAAAGTCCGCAAGGACAAGATATTAAATAAATCACATGAGTGGTAAGGCAAGTGATGTGATGTTTAATAAGATAACGTTTCCCTGAATGTGGATGAGCAAACGAGGGTCCGGTAAGCATATGTCCACACGTGACACAATTGGGGCACTTAAAGCAGCCATTTTAGAACCGTTGGCTAAATTTGTTGATTATCATTGCAAGACACCTACCTTACTCATACCAACATGCCTCAAAGATACACAGGACCTTCTTACTCACTTGAGACAAGTCTCTCTTCCGGATGGACCCATCACTTTAGCAACTGTAGATGTAAAAAATCTGTATACTATCATACCACACAAAGATGGGTTAGATGCTATGAGACAAGTCTTAATTCATTCTGATCAATATAAGGGGCCTCCCATTGAATATCTTCTCGAATGTTTGGAATTTACTTTGATTAATAACTACTTCCGTTTTGAGAAATTTTTCTATCTCCAACAAACAGGCACGGCGATGGGATCGGCGATAGCTCCTAATTATGCCAACAGCTATATGTTTTCGTATGAACAACAACACATTTTATCAAAATACCAGGCCAATCTCATATTATATTGTAGATATGTGGATGATATCCTCATGATATGGTCAGGTCCTGTTTCATCTTTCGACACCATGATAGAAGATCTTAATCAGATTAATTCACCTGTACGTTTTAGCCATTGTTGTGATGCCAACAAGATTGAATTTCTTGATGTTTTAATATATCGGATGCACAACTCAATTGGCTATACTCTATACAGAAAGACTTCTGATCGTAACACCTTATTACACGCCACCAGTTTCCATCCAGGTGCTCTTAAGAGATCACTTCCTATCTCACAATTTCTTCGAGTACTAAGAAACAACTCAGACCCAGATAACACCAAGGCACAGATTATTGTGATGCAACGAGCCTTTCGAGATCGAGGGTATTCGAAGTATACACTCAAGCGATCGTTGGACAGAGCCTACGATATCTACAATAAGTCTTGTACTACAACAACTATGCTATCTCAGCAACCTACGAGAATTACAGTACCATTGCTGTATCATACAGCAAGTGACCAAATTGCAAAGGTTATCCGTAAAAGGTGGGACTTATTGGCTTCTGATCCCACATTACTACCTGTTTTCCTCCTCGGATTTCGTTTAGACGGAATCGTAACTTAAGAGATATGTTGGTTAAAAATGATTGCCCCACTCAATATACAACGGAAAAAGCTCATACTAAATTGGGCTGCTTTAAGTGCCCCAATTGTGTCACGTGTGGACATATGCTTACCGGACCCTCGTTTGCTCATCCACATTCAGGGAAACGTTATCTTATTAAACATCACATCACTTGCCTTACCACTCATGTGATTTATTTAATATCTTGTCCTTGCGGACTTTATTATGTGGGAAAGACTGATCTTACATTGCGGGATAGAATGCGTGGTCACCGATCGGGGATTATGACCGCCTTTAGGGATGGCAAGACCGATAAACCGGTGGCTAAACATTTCTTAGAGGCGAATCATCGGCTTCCCACCCTTAAATTTATTGCTATTGATCACATTCCCCCTCTTAGCCGAGGGGGGGATCGATCTAAGATTCTACTTCAGCGGGAGGTTTACTGGATTAAAGCATTGGACACTTTATATCCCAAGGGCCTGAATGAATATTTGTCTTTCCATCCATTTTTAGATACACGCTAATTTGATTTGCTGTTTATCTGTGTAATTTTTGGTCCTGCTTCTTACTATCTTCTCGTTCTCATTTTTAAAGGTCTAATTATTTAATCTTGTCATTTTTCTGCATAAGGGATTTTCTGCTTTTATTAGCAGTTCCATGGTGTACTTATTATGCATACTGGATATTGATAGTACAATGTATATGTATACACAATGTTTGTGGTTATTCTAATATATGTATTTACCGATGGTCCTTATTTTCTTCGTTATTCTATCTGTTTCATTTTCTCTCTTTTTACTCTGTTTCACGGTTTCACTATTTTGATACATAGTGTTATTGCTCCACTTCTTTAGTTGTCACGGTAGTTTTCTTTTCCTTTTTTATCTTTTCCACTTTCTTCCTTCTTTCTATCTCTTTTTTTCTTTTTCACTATCTTTTTATGGTTTGATCTTTTTTACTTAATATTTTTTCTTCATCGCTTTCTATATGTTTATTTTCTCTGGACTTTCTGTTCATACTTAATATATGTCCGTTTTAAGATATACTATGGCCATCATTCTCTCTCTCTTACTTGTATAGATCTTTCCTATCTGGTTTATTTTACTGTTTCACACCATACACGATCACTTACTCGTTTCTATGGAAACCGGACGCCTTTTCACCACCTCTTCCTGGTCGCATTTGGTTGACGTCATCACTCCGTTACGGAACTCACACGCTACCTTTCATCTATTCACAGCATGTACACATGGTTCCGTAGCTGCACACCTATCTTAGGGTAAGTGATTACCCCCTAATTATTTACTGTTATAAATGTTATCACTTCACTGTGTTATGCATCTTGATAAAGACCTGCGGGTCGAAACGTCGATTTTTTCTGTACACCGATAAAAAAGTTTTTCGACAAGTCCTTTGGAGTGCTCTCTTTGCTACTATTTCTCTCTCTCTCTCTCTATATATATATATATGTGTGTGTGTATGTATATATATATATATATATATGTATATATATATATAAAGCAAAATCCAGATATATATATACATACATACACACCCATGTACACGTCACCAGTGGAGGTGGGTTCATGCATGCGCAGTATACACGGATGGATGCAGGCAGCACCACACCTGGGGTAAGTTACGTTACTTATTCCCCTTATATATGTCACTGTGTTGTCCTGAGGAAAGTCCCGACCCGGGACTGAAACGTTGACTATATATGGCATCTATATTTTATCTTTTATGTGAACAATAAAAGTTATATATTAAACGGAGACTGAGAGTGCAGACCATCACTTGGAATTTTATATGTATATATATATACACACACACACACTTCCTAATCACTTTGCAAACTGCAGTCTCAGGCAGGTAGGTAATGTGTCACACCTTAGATGTAGTCGCACTGTCCGTTCAGCTCGCATCTACACCATGGATTGAAGAATACATGTCTTTTCTGCCCCCCCTGTCATCCATCTCTGGGTTCCCCTCACTTGTATGTCTATTATTCCCCATTCTATCATATACTGGCTCCCGTCATCACAGCAGTGCGCTTGATGGAGCATTCTGTTCCGCACAACCACCAGCTTCAGGACAGCTCTAATGTGGCCAGCTGGCCAACTCTTGGGCCCCCCATGACAGGAAGCTAAGAAGGCATTTGTTAAAGTTACCATTGCTGTTTTTCTTTATATGAAAAATGTTGCTCTAGAGCCCATTACCTGGTCGCCATAGCTGACAAAGTACAAATATTTGGAAAATTAGAATAGCAAAAACACTGGGGTTATTTTTGTTGGGTTTTTTCCCCAGGAAAATTTCAGGAATTGTACCAAAAGATTAGAGAAAAACACAGAAACTGTAGAATCGTTTGCTTAATATCTGTGGTTGGGAAGTTATACAAAGGGTTATTAAGATATTCATTGTGAGCAGCAATGTCATTACTGGTAATTATGAAAGCCAGCTCATGCCAAAATAATTTAATTGCGTTCTAGGAAGAGGACTGTAAAAGTATAAATCAGGGTGATTTAGAGGATGTTTTTTGTTATCTTTGCCAAGGTATATGGTTACACACAAAAGGTTACTGTACAAATTCAAAGTAATTGGTTTAAATGAGATTTCTTATGTTTGGATTGCATGTTGACCTAAAGTTTGAGTGCAGAGAGTAGCGGTCACTAGAAAATATTCAGGGTTTATATCTCGTAAGATTGTGTATTAGTAAACTTGCAAAGGGCATTGAAAGTCATGTATCAGTGTTTATAGATGACACAAAACTAGCTAAGGTTATGCAGTGTGAGCAGGGTATTCCTTTTGCTGGTAAGGCATTAAAAGGACACTATAGTCACCAGAACAACTGCAGCTTAATGTAGTTGTTCTGATGAGTATAATCATTCCCTGCAGGCATTTTCAGGCAAACACTCCTCAGTTGGCCACTGGAGGTGCTTCCTGGGATAGTGCTGCACAGTGTGCAGGACTGTTGTTCAGCATTTCCACGCTCTGCATGGAGATGCAGATTTTTCCTCATGGAGATGCATTGATCAATGCATTTCTATTAAGGAGGTGCTGTTTATGAGTTTGTTTTCCTGGCACTATAGTGGACCTTTAAGTGACTAATTTTTTTCTGTTTATTTTTAATGTAAAAAAGACAAAAGGTCACTCATTTAGATTCAAAGAAAAGAGATTTCACTTGCAGCAAAGTAAAGCGATATTTACAGGTTGCCTACCCCTGCTCTAGGTAGATAATTTCACAGCTGTGTTGTTATTACTGTAAAGAGTTCTCCCCTGGGCTAGAGTGTTTTTTTTTTTGTTTTTTTTTTGTAGATTAAACAAAATCTGGTATTTTCTTAGGGAAATATTGACTATAAGATATATGTGGGCAGCGGAAGAAATGTCAGCAGTGCAGCCAGTTCACTTCCCACAGCTAACGTGTGAGGAGGTAGAGGAGGGGGCAGAGAGAAGGGAAGAGAACTGAGAGAGCCTGGAGCAGGATCAGATGTCCATCAGTCTCAGCCAGCACATGCAGCAGCCAGATTCCACTGGATCCCAGGGAAGCCAAGCCATCATGGGAGTTGTACGACAAATGGAGATCTACCATTTGGCCACCTTTGTGATAGAAGGGAACCCAAAAACGTTTCCTACATAAAGCCCTCTTTTCACAAGTTCTGCAACGGTATGTATGGAAACAGCTTGTTAATCGTATGAGAAACCTGAATACCATTATGGAGTAAAAAAATATATATACAATTTTAGAGCAAAAATGGAAATCGCTTCAGATTAGGGATTTTTGCTTTTTTTTTTTTTGGCTGAACAAATGAGTCTTTTTCACCCAGATAACCGTGCAATTATTCATGGCAATCTCAATTCTCTACAGCTCTTTGTTACTTTCCTTTGTTTCCTTGATTGGTTCTGCATAGTTTGTTCTTTATTATCCTTCATTATAGTTCCCATTTATTCTTTCTATAATTAACCTCTTTGTGATTTTCTCTTACCTTTACACTTGTATGTATCTCTGTAACACTGCCCTCCTTGCTCCTTCTCATTATCTTGCATTATCTCTATGGCACTACATTATTGCATTATATTTTAATATTTTATTTGTCAGTACTCAGAACCTTATTTTTTAAAGTATGTAATTATCTTAGACAAAAAAAAGGGAAAAATCCTAAAACGTAGTATTGTAGGCCGAAAGTGATTCAAGTCCATCAAGTCCAGCCTTTCACATATCTTCACTACTGCTGTTGATCAAAGCGAATACCCCCTACCAAAAAAAGTAAACACGTTTTTTAATGATAAAACTAAATGAAAATTCAACAAATAGCTACCAGTAGCAATATAGCTGTATATTTGAGCTGTATATACAATGAAAAAAAACAGGGGGGGGGCGCAAATCCTCTTAATGCAACAGTACAGATTATAATATGCAATCCCCACAATAGTACCTATTAACACACAGATATACTTGCAGCTATTAAAGGTACACTTAGGAAGCAACACTGAGTGACAATCAATTTCACATGCTGTTGTGCAAATGGAATAGACAACAGGTGGAAATTATAGGCAATTAGCAAGACACCCCCAATAAAGGAGTGGTTCTGCAGGTGGTGACCACAGACCACTTCTCAGTTCCTAAGCTTCCTGGCTGATGTTTTGGTCACTTTTGAATGCTGGCGGTGCTTTCACTCTAGTGGTAGCATGAGACGGAGTCTACAACCCACACAAGTGGCTCAGGTAGTGCAGCTCATCTAGGATGGCACATCAATGCGAGCTGTGGCAAGAAGGTTTGCTGTGTCTGTCAGCGTAGAGTCCAGAGCATGGAGGCGCTACCAGGAGACAGGCCAGTACATCAGGAGACATGGAGGAGGCCGTAGGAGGGCAACAACCCAGCAGCAGGACAGCTACCTCCACCTTTGTGCAAGGAGGAACAGGGGGAGCACTGCCAGAGCCCTGCAAAATATCCTCCAGCAAGCCACAAATGTGCATGTGTCTGCTCAAACGGTCAGAAACAGACTCCATGAGGGTGGTATGAGGACCCGAAGTCCACAGGTGGGGGTTGTGCTTACAGCCCAACACCGTGCCAGAGAACACCAAGATTGGCAAATTCGCCACTGGTGCCCTGTGCTCTTCACAGATTAAAGCAGGTTCACACTGAGCACATGTGACAGACGTGACAGAGTCTGGAGACGGCGTGGAGAACGTTCTGCTGCCTGCAACATCGTCCAGCATGACCGGTTTGGCAGTGGGTCAGTAATGGTGTGGGGTGGCATTTCTTTGGGGGGGCCGCACAGCCCTCCATGTGCTCGCCAGAAGTAGCCTGACTGCCATTAGGTACCGAGAAGACATCCTCAGAACCCTTGTGAGACCATATGCTGGTGCGGTTGGCCCTGGGTTCCTCCTAATGCAAGACAATGCTAGACCTCATGTGGCTGGAGTGTGTCAGCAGTTCCTGCAACACAAAGGCATTGCTGCTATGGACTGGCCCGCCCGTTCCCCAGACCTGAATCCAAGTGAGCACATCTGGGAAATCATGTCTCGCTCCATCCACCAACGTCACGTTGCACCACAGACTGTCCAGGAGTTGGCAGATGCTTTAGTCCAGGTCTCGGAGGAGATCCCTCAGGAGACCATCCGCCACCTCATCAGGAGCATGCACAGGCATTGTAGGGAGGTCATACAGGCACGTGGAGGCCACACACACTACTGTGCCTCATTTTGACTTGTTTTAACGACATTACGTCAAAGTTGGATCAGCCTGTAGTGTGTTTTTCCACTTTAATTTTGAGTGTGACTCCAAATTCAGACCTCCATGGGTTTGTGTGATTTGATTGTCAGCACATTCAACTATTTAAAGAACAAAGTATTTTAGAAGAATATTTAATTCATTCAGATCTAGGATGTTATTTTTGTGTTCCCTTTATTTATTTTTTTAGCAGTGTATATGTGATTTACTTTGGGTGGACACGTTTATACTTTTGTGATTGTTGGGAAGCAAAAGATTTCCTAATTCTTGCTATAGGTGTTTTGGAAAGGATCTGGTTTAGTGAGGTGAGCTGCGTATTCCTTGGTGGGACTTGGTTTAATTTTCTGCAGTAGTTTTTATCAGACAACAGTCTGTTTCCTTCTGCAGTGCAGTCCTGGGTGTTTATGATAACTACTGATCCACCCTTGTCAGCCTGCATGTTTTTATTATTCATCAAATTATTCAAGGAATTTCCTTCCTGAGGTGAGAGGTTGTATGCTATTTTTTTTCAGTTGTGTGGTAATAGGTGATGCCTCTGTCATGCGGAAGCATTCAATATAGCTGTCTAGTTTAGTGTTGCTTTCTGCGGAAGGTATAAAATCTTTGAGGGGGTTTTTCTACCATTTTCTAGGTTGAGTGTGGTGTTGTTTTCTTTGTCAAAGAGGAATCCTTTAAACCTAATTTTTCTAAAAAATTCTTCCAAGTCCGAGTATAATCGAATGTTGAGAGAGTATTGTCCTTGGAGAAAATGTTAGCCCCTTTGACAAGACTGCTTTCTCAGGTATGGGCAGGTGATAATCAGAGAGGTTAACAATTTCAGCATTGTCCATACTGTGCTCCTGGTGGTTTACAGACTCAGTTTGGTTTGAGACAGTAATAGTTTCAATGCACATTAGATTGTTTGCACTGGTGCAATTAGTTGATATTATGCAGCTGTGTATTTTTATGTCTTTCTCTGCTGTTGTTTTATGAGTGTATTGTCTCTTTTCAGTTTATTTACTTGTTCTAGCTATTCTGGCTATTGCACCTTTCACTCTCAGGTCCATCGTCTGCTTTTTATGACACCTCCTCCCCTTATCTAACAACATCAGTGCTTTTAAGTTTGTTAATTTCATCATATTGATCAGTGATTCTTCAGACCTGAGGAAGAGAGGAAAACCCTCAAATGCTTGTCTTTTAAATAATATGTTACAACAATGGCGATAGGAGCCGCACTCAATCCCAGCAGCCACCTGGTGCTCTGGAGCAGGACCAGCAATACCACAATGATAGGGCAAAAAAATAAATTCTCCAGGCACTCAATGTCTTCAAGCCGCAGGCAGTTTTAATAGAACAGAAAAGAGCATCAATGTTTCAACCTGCTAAGTGGCCTTTGTCAAATTGAGCTATTAAATCTGCCTGAGGATTGAACGCCTTGAGTGCCTGGAGAATTTATTTTTTGCCTTAAATATTATGTTAGCCCAATAAAAAAAGATATCCTTGCATACTGCAATACTTTGGAATTCTGGCAGCTTATATATTTAGTAAATGAATATAGATTATTTACTGCCCTACTACCCCATCTCCCCATTAGTTACTTCTTTTCACTTGATCTGTGAATCAATGTACGGTAAAATACATGCATAATATTAATATATTTTGCAGTACACTAATAGGCCAATTACCATGCCATTTTGGTTCATCCAAATTTGTTTTTCCAAAAACAATTGCGTGGATGACATTTGTCAGAATTGAAACACCACGAGGATGAAACACGAATCGACCAAAACAAAAAACTATTCCGAACAAATCCATTTGGACGAACCAATCTTGTTTTGCTGTGCGCAAGCATAAAAAGATACTCAGTATTTAAGATAAACAAGAAATATAACTATTTCCACACCTGTCCTTTCAACAGTTACAGTGCTGCGTTTTTCCAAATCATCTGCCAACTGCAGCTGGATGTTCACAGTTGGCAGGCTGAATAATGCCAGTGTATTCCTTTTTTTGTAATATTGAAATACGTCATATATAAATACAGTGAATACAGAATTCACCGATTATCGGTCTGGCCGATACTAAAGGGCGATATTCCATATTTTCAGCATTTCATTTTCTAGTTGTTAATTCACAATTGTTACTAAGAGAGCCCCCTCTACAATGTGAAATGACCTGGCAGCCTGCAAAAAAGCCATTGGACCACCAGGGAATTTAATATCCCCTCCCTGGCCACAGAAAAAGGATGCAAGGAAGGATTTAAATAAAAAATAAAAAATATTTATTAGATTAATTATATAATATTTAAAAAGCAAAAAAAAAAAAAAAGCTTTTAGCCGGCTTCCCCCTCTTCAATGTGAAACCTCCTGGCTACCTGCAGAAAGCCACAGGACCACCAGGGAGTGTAATGTCCCTCTGCCAGGCCACAGGTGAAAGGCAGAGAGGGGGGAAGAATATCGGTACCAGGTATCGGTTATCGGCCTGAAAGGTCACAAATTATCGGTTTCGGCACGAAAAAATTTAATATCAGTCGATCCCTACAGTGAATCACACATCCTGTAAAATATGCATGATGCACCTCAAACATTAAAAAAAAAAAGATAACATTTATTTTTTATTTCTTATTTTATTTATTTTACTGTTTGCTCCAGGTAAAGTTTGCATTTTAGAGCATATACTGCAGCTGACATTAGATTTGTAGTTAGTGACTATGGCAATAAATCTAGCCGTATTCAGTACTCTAAGAAACTAATCAGAAAACAGCTTAGATTTCAATGGAGTGGTTAATTCCCTAAATTAGCATATTGTAAAAGCTGGGGCAATCCATTTTTAATAGAAATATTGCCAAATATATTCTTATTTCCTACTGGATATAAATGTATTTTCTGTAATATAGGCTGAGCTGCCCATTTCCATTGCTATTTATTGACGTGTAAAAATCTTTATAAGCAAAAATTTAAAAAATAGGTTTTTACATTATTTTATGCTTTTCACTATTTATTCACAATTAAGCTGTTGTATTATGTATACATAGAGAACTTTAAAAGAAAATCCTTTCTGTTCTTTAGAAAAACCAAGATATAACATATGGGTGCTGTGGCAATACCTGCCTTGTGACCATAAAATGCACCAAAGAGACTATGACACTAACCATGGTTTTCCCTACCTTCTCTCCCTGTAGTACGTCCAAGCGCTTTTCACCACTGTGCCTGCAGACAGTTCCAGGAAACCAGAGTAAGTCGCTAAGTCTCTAGCAGGACCTAGCTGTAATTGTCTGAAACTCCTGCTCGGCTACGATAAGAACCTGGTCGAGTTGCACCTTTGTTTTCCCCTTCCTCTACTCTGTCCAGGGAAGCGCTATTTGAAGGGAAGGTATAATAGACATTGTTGAACAATCGATCACTGAAAGCCATGGGGAGCTCCCTTTTTCCACTGCACCAGAGCTCCTGTAAAATGACCGTACAAAGGCACTGAACTTGTTGAACTAATTTCGGCCAGGACCCAGTGAATGGTCGGTTAGAACTTTATCCTAGTGGCGTTTTCCCAATTCCTTATGGATCTGAGCAATTGTTTTGCCAGAATGAGCGCTCGGAGCAGACCTTTCCAACAATGTACACCCTGTTCCAAATTATTATGTAATTCTATTTAAGTGTCACAAAGATTAAATATTTTGTTTTTCAGTTTAACTCATGGATGGCATTGAGTCTCAGGGCTCTTTTGATCACTGAAAACAATCTTGGACACCTGTGATAATTAGATTGCCAGGTGAGCCCTATTTAAGGAAAAACTACTAAAGGAGGGTGTTCCACGTTATTAGGCAGAGCACCATTTTCATGCAATATGGGGAAGAAAAAGGATCTCTCTGCTGCTGAAAAGAGTGAAATAGTTCAATGCCTTGGACGAGGTATGAAAACATTAGATATTTCACAAAAACTTAAGCATGATCATCACACTATTAAGAGATTTGTGGCTGATTCAGAGCACAGACGGGTTCGTGCAGATAAAGGCACATTGAGGAAGATTTCTGGCAGATCCATGCATCGGATCAAGAGAGAGCTGCTAAAATACCATTACATAGCAGCAAACAGATATTTAAAGCTGCTGGTGCCTCTGGAGTCCCACGGACATCAAGGTGTAGAGTCCTCCAGAGTCTTGCAACAGTGCATAAGCCTTCTATTCCGCCACCACTAACCAATGCTCACAAGCAGAAACGGCTGCATTGGGCAGAAAAATACACGAAGACTAATTTTCAAACAGTCCTGTTCACTGATGAGTGCCGTGCAACCCTGGATGGTCCAGATGGATGGAGTAGTGGATAGTTAGTGGACGGCCACCCTGTTCCAACAAGACTGCAACACCAGCAAGGCGGTGGTGGAGTCATATTTTGGGCCGGAATCATGGGAAGAGAGTTGGTTGGTCCCTTGAGGGTCCCCGAAGGTGTAAAGATGACTTCTGCAAAGTATGTGGAGTTTCTGGCTGACCACTTTCTTCCGTGGTACAGAAGGAAGAACTAAGCTTTCCGTAATAAAATCATCTTCATGCATGATAATACACCATCTCATTCTGCAAAGAATACCTCTGCATCAATGGCTGATATGGGGATAAAAGGAGAGAAAGTCATGGTGTGGCCTCCATCCTCCCTTGACCTCAATCCTATTGAGAACCTTTGGAGCATCCTCAAGCAAAAGATCTATGAGGGTGGGAGGAAGTTTACATCCAAACAGCAGCTCTGGGAGGCTATTCTGACATCTTGCAAACAAATTCAAGCAGAAACTGTCCAAAAACTCACAAGTTCAATGGATGCAAGACTTGTGAAGCTGCTATCAAATAAGGGGTCCTATGTTAAAATGTAACATGACCTGTTAAAATGTTTAAAAAGTTAAAATGTTGTTATAAGTTTGATTGAAATAGCTTTTGATTAAAGATTAAATATGCTGCAAACACAACAAATGATGATTTTCAGTTCTTTACAACCTATAAAGTGTTTTGAAACTTACTGTGCGTAATAGTTTGGAACAGTGCATTGTAAGATTTTATGTTTAAAAAAAATACCGTTATCATTAGGAGGTTTGTTCAATAAAATTTGAATTGTACTCTTAATAGTTGATAACATGAGAATTATACTGACTGTTATTTACATCAATTATTTAGGTAAATGAGAAAAATATTGCGACGAAGTTCCCTTCGCCACTTGGTCCTGGAGAGGCCTGCTTGCCAGCCTCCTCCCCGGTGACTATGACTCTTTGATGTATTTGGCTTTAAATCCCCTATTCTACCTTCAGACAGACTATTTATGTAGGTTGCTTTATTTCTCTTATGTTTTAGTCACCCTGTACCTATTATAGGTGCAGGGTGTGTGTAATGTAATTTTTTATAGTGTGTGTGTGTGTGTGTACTGTGAAATGTATTGCCTGCTCTCCTGTACTGCTGAGGTTTGCTACCAACTAGGTGGATTTAGCTATGGAGCTTGTCTAGTGCCCTCTGTTGGTAGCAACAGCAATATGCACTACCTGAATAGCAAGACTGGTTCATTTGCATATTCGGGTAGATTTGCATATTGCTAATTCTGCAGGCACGTGAGATATTTTCTGTTAAATATTGTCTCCTCTACCCCTTTAAAAATATGCAATTGTGTTATAATAAGTCACTGCATGTTGCCTGCTATGAATTGGCTGTTTGTAATTTTATTGAGTTTTCACAGCATTGTTAATGTAATGACCATAAGGGCTAGTCCCAAGTAAAATAAAGGTTTAGACAGTTCTTGATCCCTCTAAACATAGCCATGTCTCATTGTTGGAGGGAGCTGTTATAATCACACTGGGGATTGCTATGCTCTGCATGCTCCCATGAGCTTGAATCACTTAGCTCTTTTAAGAGCTTGTTCCTGACATGCTCTCATTGGAGGAGGGGTCTTCCCTGCACAGTCCTGGATGCTGGAGGTTCATACATGGTGGAAGGAAGAGGTCTTTCCCACATGGTCCTGGAGGACAGAAGCTGATCCAGGGTGGAAGGAAGATGGCGAGACTCCAGTCAAACTACAGTGGTTGCGGAGTCTGCGGTGGTTGTCGTGTCCGGTGCGGTGCTTGTGGTCCTCGGTGCAAGCTAGGAAGCGTCCATCAACGGAGGGTACTCGGTCGGAGTACGGGGAGCTCCGTTACAAATATCATTTGAATAATAATTTGGAACAGGGTGTATTCTATGTGGGGGATCAGGATTGCCATCTTTATGTTTTTGGGGTATTTGTGTTTTGGGCTTCTATGTGTCCGGGAGATAATGAGTTTAAGCGCTAGATAATCAAATCGTCTCCCAGACACAGAGACGCTAGGGAGGGACTACCTATATTCACAATGGAGATGCCCTGCTGAGGGTCTGTGTATAAAAGGTCAAATTGTCCCAATACAGTTTGTCATTGTACCAACAACAAGTGTCATCTGATGTGTGGGGGCGATAAGGGCTATAACACTAAACAGCGCTTTCTTCCAGCTCGAGGGTTATTCCAGCTCAGATACCCAGCCAGGGTATAGGAGCTCCGATAAAGGTGCACTTAAAATAAAAACCCTTAACCTTCGCAACTATCACAGAGCAGCTGAGACAACATAAGAAGCCTTACAGATGGGGATTCCTGGTCAAGCTGCTCATTACACATGAGGGCAAACTAACAGCCATCACGACCCCTGAGGCCGGCCTGAAAGCCCTCAGAGACTGGGGCCTACCACTGCCACGCAACCCATAATCTGAAGAAGGACGAAGCAGACTCACTCCATCGGAAAAAAAAGTGTCCCGTAAAAAGAAGGGAGAGCGGACACTGAATGCAGAAAGTGGCAAGTACCGCTAAGAGACTTTGGGACTATTCACATACTGGGGGACACTTCATATCAGTGGCTGGGAGGGGGGGGGGGGTTAGACCTCTTACCTCTCTTTACCCCCACTTTAAGCAAGAGCATATTTCGGGAACCAAAGTTATTCATGCCAACACCCCAAATCCTCAGACATTTCAAATCTCTCAATAAGAGAGAGGGGGGTGAACACATCAAATGCACAGCAAGTTAGGCCACAAGATTGCTACGCACAGGTATGGAAGCGCACAGCTTCTTCCCCCACGGTACAGTTATTTTGTTCGATTTTTTTTTTGTTTCTTACTCCTCAGAGATTAAGCACACTAAATGCCAGCACACCTCCATGCACGGCGGGATGCCCCGTCTCAGGGGACCCCAACAACTAGTCACCCCAAGTAGGAGAATGCCACCCGGTTTGAGAACGCTGAGTAGGGGGGCACTCCCACAAATAGAAATAACAATGCAAATGACACTGCATACTATAAAGTATGACCCCCCACAAAAATATACACCCACAACACCAAAGGTCTTAAAAACCCCTTGAAAAGTAGCCTACTACACAAAGATCTGAAACAGGTTAAGTCTGAGGTAGTGTGCCTACAAGAAACCACCTTCAAGACCAACGAACACACACCACTGTTCACACAGGAATACCAATACCATGCCACATACTCCAATAAGACTAAAGGCGCATCCATACTCATCAGTAAAGATGTGGTGTTCACCCTTACATAGTTAGAGGTAGATAAAGAAGGGAGATATGTCATGGTGGTGGGCACATTCAACAATGTCATGTACATGATCATGAGCATATATGCCCCTAACAAGGAGCAAAGAAACTTCCTACATAAAATAATCAGAAAACTGAAGACAATACAGATGGGGATTGTGACAGACCCATCTGTCTGGATTACAAATGCTTTGTTCGCCTGTTTTGCCGGTTACATGAATTTCCCCATTCGTATGCTTTATTCAAGGGAATGTCGGTTTTGTCGAACGAAACTACCGAACGGACGGCCACCCAGAAGAGAAGTGTGCTGCTGGTTAACCTATTGATCCCAATTAGAACGTTGCGGTTAACCACAGACACTTCTCAATTAAAACCGAATGCCGGGTGGTCGTCGTTCGTATGTCGACCACGAGGCGGCGGCCATTTTGTCCATGCGAACGACCAGCGGTGTTCGACGATTATTTCATGGATCTGAAAACGGACACTTTTTCAGCCGAACACCGCTGAAGCCGTCGACCTCCCCTTCTCAATCGACAAAAGTATACGAATGCCAGCCGTTCGGGAGATTCAACCACACGAATGGACTTAACCCAGATAGCCGTCCCATGGAGTCAATCGCATACCGAAGAACTGAAAGAGGCTTTGACTCCATGGCGATTGAACTGTGCGAATGGGATCTGAGCGCTATTCTCCAATAATGTGCACTCAGATCCAGGCTATCTGGGGATACATAATACGAATGTAATATGTTCGGAAGTTATGGATTTTCATGTGTTTTTGTGACTTGTGTTTAAAATGGCGATTGCCTCTGCTCAGGGAGATAATTGAGTTACTTCCCAATTATCCCCCGAGCAGAGGGGAGGGAACTGTACTGCATGCTGGGAATATTGTGGGGATGTATGTCCAAAATGTCCCCATGTCCTTCTGTGATTTCAGTCTCCCATTTGGTCCTCTAGGGGAGTGTCCACCAAGTGGGAGACCTGCATAAATACCGGGCAGGTAGCCCACAGTAAATCAGTTCGTGTTTTACCCCCAAAGCGGAGCTTGGTCTCGTTATTGGGGGGATTTGGTTACCAGCGACTAGAGACTGCTTATTTGGATTATTTGCCGCTTGGGAGATATTGACGTTCGGTTACTATTTGCCGTTCGTGGATTTGCAGCTCGTGAAGGGAATTAACCGTACAGGTACCGTTCGGGAGTTTGGAGTGTTCCCTGGCTGGCGGTTCGCATGGTTTTACTATACCCGCTACCCGACCACATTATTGCGAACGGGGAATACTCGCTAAACGGCGGTTTGTACATTTCAATACTGGAGGTACCGTAACAACTGGTGGCAAGCGACGGGATGATCCTCAGCGCCCAAAGAAACCACTACAACCAGGATTAAATGGAACTACAATACCAGAACCTGAGAAGAGCTACCCTAAAGGATTTATTGGAACAAAGAGGCGGACAAGCCAGTAACCTCAGGAAGAGGGATATTATTGCGCTATTGCTGGAAATGGATGGAGTAACGGCGGAAGAGGGAACCAATGGACCCAGCACAGCTGACAGAACCCCCGAGGAGGCAAGCTTCGACCGGGTGGTAAGAATCAGGCTGGCCCATTATGGTCCCAACCCAACTACTGAGACTGTCACCCAGGTCATAGCCGCTGTGGAGGCCAACCTGCTACGCCAAAGCGGTGCTGCAGCAGCCCCAGTCACAGCAAACCCGGGAGATAGGAAAAAGGTACCATTCACAGCATTTAAAGCCTTCAGTGAGACAGAAGGAGAGATTGACGGGTACCTTGCTGATTTTGAGCGGCAATGTGCCCTGCACAAGCTACCCCTAGAAGACTGGGTTACTATACTGTCCGGCAAGTTATCCGGCCGGGCCAGCGAGGCTTTTCGGGCCATTCCAGATGAGGAGATTGGGGATTATGGGGCCGTCAGGGAAGCTTTACTCTCCCGGTATGCTGTTACACCTGAGGAGGAGGTTCCGAGACACGGTTAAAACCTCTGGGGACTCATATGTGGAATGGGCATGCAAGGTGCACCGCACAGCCGCTCACTGGATGGCGGGGTGCCAGGCTGTGTCCGGGGAAGAGGTGCTGCAGATGTTTCTCTTAGAACATTGTTTTGACAAATTACCAGCAGTGGTCAGAGAGTGGGTAAGGGACCATAAACCCTCCACTCTGCACGAAGCAGCTCGCCTGGCGGATGAGTATACCGACGCCCGCAAACTGGACAGTCTCATCAGTAAGGCTCCCGCCAGAGTGGAGTACAGGCCAGCAACACCAGCACCAGCCAACCTATACCAGCCTCCCATGACTCGCCCATCAGCAACTCCTCCATCTGCCCCGTACCAACAGCCACCTAGGTTTAATGCACGGGAATACACGCAACCCATTCGGTGCTACCTGTGCAAGCAACTAGGGCACAAGCGACCAGAGTGCCCGATGAACAGTGCCAACCAGAACCAGTCCTGGAGGAGACCAGCCGGTGGCAATCCACGACCTCCCCTCCCGGCCGCTCACTGTGTAGAGGAAGAAGAGTGCTGGGGCATCCTGCATGAGGCAGACCCCGTTCAGGCTGCTCACCGGGATAACCGACAGCATCACCGGCAGTGTGTGAAAGTAAATGGGAAGGAGGTCAGTGGTCTACGAGATACCGGGGCAACTATGACCTTGCTCCAGAAGCACCTGGTATCCAAAGCCCAACATACAGGGGACACGGTCGCCGTACGAGTAGCTGGAGGTGCCGTGTTCCGTCTGCCCGTTGCCCGGGTACATTTGGATTGGGGAGTGGGCGCTAGACATGTGAATGTGGGGGTCATGAAGGACTTACCAGCGGATGTCCTCCTTGGCAATGACTTGGCGCCCCTTGTTTCCGCCTACGCTCCCATGGGTCCTGCTGAAGTGGATGCTGTCACGACCCGTGCCCAGACCCGTGCCGCCGAGACCGGCCCACCTGCTGCTGAGACCCAGGTAAGACTCTCTCCCCCGACTTGTACCTTAGACCAGGCCCCTTTAGGCTGGGATACCCCAGAGATGTACGGGAAGGAAACCAGGGAAGACCCGACGCTAGCCAAGTACAGGGCCAGGGCCGATTCT